GGGGGCCTTGAGGGGGTGGGGCAGCTTTTGGGGTTCTTGAGGGAGGCTTGGGGTCCCTGAGGGGACCTTTGGGATTTGGGACTCTTGAGGGCGATATTTGGGGGATCCCTGAGCCATTCCTGGGGCTTAGGGTTCGCTGAAAGTTGGGGGTCTTGAGGGCTGTGAGAGGTCGGGGGTCTGGGGGTGTTGAGAGTATTGGGGGAGACCTTGGGTCTTGAAGGTCTTGAGGGGTGCTGCAGGCTCTGGGGCAGCTTTGGAGTCTGGAGCTTGGGTGATCTTGAGGGTTAGAGAGGGCTGGAGGGACCCTTGGGATCTGGGGGTCTTGAAGGCTGGGAGGCACAGGTGGAGACCTTGAAGGTTGAGGCCTGGGGGCAGAATTTGGATTCTGGGGGGTCTTGAGGGCTGGGAAGGACTCCTGGGGCGTGGGGGCTCTTGAGGGCTGGGGCGTGATGGGGTGGGGGACTCAGAGGTCAAAGGAGGGAGAGGCCTAAGGGAGGATTAGTTTAATAGGGAAAATTTGGGGCCCCGATATTTGGGGGGGGGGTCCCTGAGGGTGGGAATGGTGGATGCCCAGGGAGGAGGTCTCAGGTTTTAGAGGGAGTGTCAGGGAGCTGCTGATGGTCATTAATGGGGGGTGAGTTGCTGTGGGGGGAATTTTGGGGGCTTGATGCTGTAAGGACTGGGACGTCTGTGCCCTGGGAACGAGGGCAAGCATGGAGGATTGGGGCTTGTCACAAGAGATTGGGAGTGGGGGGATACCCCAGGGACAGTGTCCATGTCCTCTCACCCCACTGTCCCCTGCCCCACAGACCTGTGCAAGAACTGCCACCACTTGATTGCACGCCATGAGTACACCTTCAGCGTGGTGGATGACTACCAGGTTTGTTTCTTGTCCCCCAAAAACCCTTCCCAACTCTTTCTCTGGAATTCCAGACTCACCCTTCCATGGGCTGATTCCCACCTTCCCTGGGACAGAGCCTTGAAGGATTCAGAGCCCCATCCCTGTGTTCAGGGGTACCTGGAGACCCCCCAGCACTAGTCTGTGCCATGTGGAGGAAGCCCAGCTCACCTGGCATGGGAATGTGGGTGATGGGAGGGGGCTGTGACCCCCATTCTTCATTCCTGGCACATCTCCTATGCAGCAAAGGGCTGGAAAAAAGGGCTCAGGGGAGCCAGTGGGGCTGGAAACGAGATCCCCTGGCTCTGATTGCAATCGGGGATCGGGTACCAGACCTGGCTCGAGTTTCCCTGTGGGGGAGCAGGGCTGTGGCAGCCCCCCTTTTTCCAGCCCCTCCTTTTCGTTCCCCCAGGAATACACCATGCTGTGCCTGCTCTGTGGCCGTGCTGAGGATTCCATCAGCATCCTGCCTGATGACCCTCGCCAGATGACCCCGCTGTTCTGATCCCCATGTGTATCCCAGGATGAGCTTCCAGGAGCTTTGGGAGATCCCTGGATCCCTGGCACTGTATTTATGGGGACCACACAGTCCCTGACATGATTTGCCCCTCCAAACTTCCAGCCTGGATGCAGCGAACACCCAACACCGGATGCTCCCATGTTTCTGGGCCTTTTGGCTCTGACCCTGACTGCAAGGATGGGATGCAGTGCCACAGTCCAAGCTCCTGTGTGCTGAAGACATGAAGGGGTCCCCAAAACAGGATCCAAAGGGTTTCCCACCCCATCCCACCTCAGGAGCCCTCCTATGTGGGATAATAAATGTGATGTGTGACAGCTCGGTGGCACAGGCAGGAGTATTTTGGGAGTGGGCTTCACCCCCTGTAGTTGGTGAAGGGTGCTGGGGGCTGATGCAAGAGACTTTTTCCATCCCAGGAGCCTGTGGAATTCTTCCTTGGCCCCTCCCAGCCCTCTCCAGTGCTCTTGTAAACCCTGCAGAGAAAGGACTTGGATAATTTTCCCTTCCCACAGAGTTGGTGTGGGGTCACTTCACCCTGCCCTGGGGTTTGGAACCTGGCCCTGCCCTGCTGGGAATTCCCTATTCCTGCGGGCGGGAAGGAGCTGGGTGTGGGAAATCACTGCCCTGGGGTGGATGAAATGTTCCTCTTGGCACCCGGCCCCAGCAACACCCATGGGGAACTGGGTGCAGCCTCCCTGGCACCCACCTATCCCTGAGCCTCCATTTCCTGGATTTGGCCTTTCAGGGCTGTGTCCTCCTTCCTGTTCCCGCCAAGAGCCCCTAAAAACCACATGTTCCCAAAAACCTCATGGATCCATTTACACTCCCAAAAACCACGTGGATCCAGGCACACTCCCTGCGGCTCATTTATTGCCACCAGCCCACGCCGCCCCGGTAGCTCCAACCCTCTGCCCCCATCAAGCCCCCTCCCCGTGGAGGTTTCAGAGGGGGCTGTCATTCTGCAGAGAGCTGGGGCCACCCCGGGGTGACACCGGAGCCAGGATCACACCAGAGCCAGGATCACACTGGAGCTAGGATTACTTGGCCAGCTTGAGGAGACGCTGGATGTCGGGCTCCAGTTGGGCCGTGGGCATACGGGGGCTGTAGCGCCGGAACGGTTCCCCCTCAGGCCCCACCAGGAACTTCTCAAAATTCCAGGAGATATCGGAGCGGTGCACGGGGCTCCAGACGACAAAGCGGGGCTCGGCCATCAGGTGTGCAGGCTCGTCGACCGGTGCGGGCAGGTGAGCCTTGAGGTAGGCGAACACGGGATGGGTGTCTCTCCCGTTCACCTGGCACTTCTGGAACAGGGTGAAGTTGGGCTCGAAGCCGCCCCCCGGCCGCACGTGCTTCAGGGTGTTGAGGATTTCCTCGTTGGTGCCGTTTTCCTGTGGCGGGGAAGGAGAAATCCAGAGCCCTGTGTTTCCCAGCTCCTCACCCCCTGCCTTGTGGCCCATAGGACTTACCTGGTATCCAAACTGGTTACAGGGGAAGCCCAGCACGACCAGCCGCCGGGGGTAGCGGGCTTGGAGCTGGTTGAGCTGGGTGTAATCCCGCACCGTGGTGCCTCAGAGCGAAGCCACGTTCTCGATCAGGACCACGCGGCCCCGGAAAATGCCAAAATCCACTTTTTCCCCCTGCAAGGAGGTGGCGCTCAGGTCATAGAAGGACTTGGCGATGGGGACGGTCATGGCTGCAGGCGTGCGGCTGCTTGTGCCCCGTGCCCTGCGCCGCCTCTTAAGGGCTTCCCGGTGCTCACGTCATGGTCCAAAGGTCTCCAGGCCCCGCCGCGGCTCAGGAGAAACCTGAGCTGCCCGTCCCACCCGTGGAAGGAGGAAGGTGGCACGGGGCCAAGGCGATGCTCTACCTGCCTCAATAATTCATGGCACGGCGCGCTGCGGCTGCTCATCCTGCTGCCTGGGGGATGTGGGATGCTCCCAGCCTGGCACGGCATGTTCCCGAGGGTTGGGAATGACGGTGAGAGTTGGGGAATAACGGGAGCCAGGGAATAACAGGAATCTGGGAGCTGGGGCTCTGTGGGGCGGAGGAGGAGGGGACAAGTGTCCCAGTACTCCTCCTTGCCTGGTGCTGCCATGGCATCACCTCTGGGGCCTCCTGTGCTGCCCATCCCAGTGCCCACCGGTCCTGGGGCCCACTGGTCCCAGTACTGACTCCACCCTTGGGCCTATCTCCTGTGGTGCCTACCATTGTCCTGTGGTGCCCATCCCAGTGCCTGGCAGCATCCTGGTGTCCACATAGATCCCAGTAGGTTCCACTGTCTTAGTGCCCACCATCATCCCAGTAACCACCCACCCCAGCCCACCACTATCCCACTGCTGGCTCATCCCAGTGCCGCCACCAAGTTTTCCCACCCTGTTCCCTCAGGTGGGGCTGAGCTGGTAGCCTGGCAGGCCGTGGTGGTGGGCATGGGCATCATGCCCCATGTCCCCGTGCCCAGCCTGGAAAGGGGACACCATGCTGGCAGCCCCAGATCACCCTCAATTATTGATCACCGCTCGAGTGTCCATGCCCAGGCTGTGCCTGCTGCCATGGCTTCATGCCCACAGCCCCCCTGGAGCACACAGACCACCAACCCCTCCAGCATCACCTTTATTCTGCAAACCACTGTGTAAAACCGGGGGTCCCACGGGCACGGGGTGGCACAGGGTGGGCACACAGTGCCTGGACAGCCCCCACCCTACCCGTGAGCCGAGGAGGGCACAGGTGCCAGGATGGGGAGCCCCCTTGCCACATTCCCTGTCCCTGGGGGTGTCCCGTGTCACTCCCCACTCTGTGGGGGCTGCCTCAATCCTGCCCCTACCGTGCCCCCTGACACAGTCTGGGGAGGAGGGGTCGGGGGGTCTCAGCCTTCAACACCAGCAGGTTTTGGGGGTGTCCTCACTCCCCAGGGGCTGCTGCTCATCCTCCTCCAGCTGGGCCAGGGTGGGGGCGCGGGGCAGCCCCCGCAGCTCGTCCAGCTCCTTGCGGTGCGCCTGCAGCACCAGCTCCGTCAGCCGTGTGAAGGACTGTGGGAGAGGGGTGGGGTGAACCTGGGGGACCCCTCCAGTATCCCCTGACCTCTCCAGGCCCCCAGACCAGCCCCAGCCCCCTCAGAACCCCCCAGTCCCCTCATACCTCCTTGATGTTGAGGTTGCTGCAGGCACTGGTCTCGTAGAAGTCCATCCCGTATTCTCTGGCCAGCTGCAGCACCAGGGGTTTGGCAGGGAGGGAGGGTAGCATGATTTGGGAGGAGGGAGGATTCAATACCCCTGCCCCCCTCTCTGGAATGTGAACAGCCGGGCACGGACAGACAGGAGAGCTCTGGGGGGGCTGGCATAGGGGCACACCTGGGTTGGGTGGTGGGCGCAGGGGGCCCTGGGAGGGGTACTGGATGCTTTGGGGTTCAGAGGTCTCTGGAAGGGATACTGGGAGGAATTGGGGGTTGTTGGACACCCTGGGGTAGCACTGAGCAGTAAGGGGGTTTCCTGGATGCTCTGGAGCTGCAGGGAGAGGTCAGTGGTCCTTGGGTTCAAACTGCAGGAGCATGAGGGGTCACTGGATACAGGTAGGGATGCTTGGCGGGGGTGGGGGGGGTCTCTGGATATGGGTAGGGCTGCAGGAAGGCTGTTGGGTCCATGTGGAATGCAGGGGGGGCTTTTGGAGGGTCTGGCCATGGTCCCCACTGGGTGCTTTGGGGGTCAAGAGGTCCCAAGAGGGACACCAAGGAGGTCACTGTGTGCTTCAGGGGTACAGGAGACCGTGATGGAGGTGCAGGGAGAGCTTAGGGGTCTCTGAACATTTTGCAGGTGGGGAAGAGGGAGCCTTAGGGAGCCTTGGGGGTGCACAAGCACTGCAGAGATGGAGGGGAAGAGGGTTCCCAGACACTGGGGGAACTGTTTTTGCGGTGCCTGGGTACAGACTGCAAGAGGAGGGGGTCCCTGGTCATGGTGGGACTGGGGAGGCTTGGGGGTCCCAGATAGAGGTAGGGCTGCAGGAGGGCTGTTGGGGTCCCGAGTGCAGGGGGGGCTCAGGGAGAGGCTGGCCATGCTGGGGGTGCAGGAGGGGTCCTGCCCCCTGGGGGGGGCACACAGCAGCCCCCGCTCACCTGCAACCCTTGCTCTTTGGGCACTTGCCTCTTGTGCTCCTCGTCCGCCTTGTTCCCGATGAGGATTTTCTGGACGCCCTCGGGTGCATACTGGGCGGGGGAACCGTGTAAGGACCCCCCAACACACGGCTGGGGAACCCCCAGACCTCCCCTCGTGAACCCCCACCTCATCCACATCGCTGGCCCACTTCACGATGTGCTGGTAGGAGCGCTCGCTGCTGATGTCGTACACCAAGAAAATGCCCTGCAGGGGGTGGGGGGCAGCTGTTGACACCCTAAAACTGTGCCTCAGTTTCCCCTCTCCTGTGTACCAGGACAGGGAGCCCCCATACCTGAGCCCTCCGGTAGTACTGTTTGGTGATGGTCTGGTACCGCTCCTGGCCGGCTGTGTCCCTGCCCAGGGACAGCGGGTCAGTGCCATCATCATGGCTTGAGTTTGGCAGGGCTCAGCCCTTACCTTGGGTGGGGGGAGCAGGACTCAGACCCCCCAAAATTTCTTCCCTCTTGCCCCCGGGATCCAGTGCTGCCACTCACCAGATCTGTATCCGCACCTTGATCCCATCCACCTCGATGGTCTTCATCTTGAAGTCGACACCTGGGATTGGAATGGGGTGTGGTGTCCTGGTGTTTCCCTTTCCAGGAGATGCTGTCACTGGGGTCTGTGGTTCCCTCACCCCTCCTGACCCACCCCACGCCCCACTGTGGCCTGGTGCTGGTCCCCACACCCAGTGCCTGGCCTTGCAGGAGGCCCCGGTGCCCGGTGCTGATCCCAGTGCTCCCAGTTCCCTGGCACTGTGGCTGTCCAGTTCTCCCAGTTCCCCAGTGCTACAGCTTCTCGGTGCTGTGGCTGCCCAATGCTCTCAGTTCCCGGCTGCATGCTGCTCCCAGTTCCCCTGTGCCAGAGGTGCCTGGTCCTCCCTGTCCTCCCAAATCCAGGATTTCCTGGCTCCCTGATGCTCCCGGTTCCCTGGAGCCGCGGCACTCCAGAGCCCCCGGTTTCCCAGTTTCCCTATGCTGCAGCTTCCCGGTGGTCCCGGCTTGTGGATGCCCACAGTTTTACTGTTTCCTGATGCCCATTGCTTCCCGGTTACCCGGTGCTGCGACTCCCGATGCTCCCGGTTCCCCGGTGCCCACAGTTTTCCCTCTCCCAGGTGCCTGGTTTTCCCGCTCTCCGGTTACCTGTCTCCCCATGTTCCTAGTGTTGCAGCTCTCCAGTGCCCATGGTTAACCCTTTCCCCGTGCCCCCGGTTTTCCTATGCCCACCAGTCCCCGGTGCCCCGGCTCCCAAGACTCCCTAGTGCCCTGGTTTCCCGTTTCCTCGAGCCTGTGGTTTCCCGGCAGTTCCTCGGCAGTCCCGGTTCCCCGATGCCCACGGTTTTCCTGTTCCCTGGGTTCCCGTTTCTCGGTTGCTGCGCCTCCCGGTTCTCCAGTTCCCACGGTTTTCCCGCTCCCCGGTTGCCCATTTTCCCGTTTCCCCGGTGCTGCGGCTCCCCAGTACTCACGGTTTCCTGGTCCCCACGGCTCCCCAGTTCCCCGGTTTCCCTTTTCCCCGGTAACGCGGCTCCCAGTGCTCCCGTTTACCCGGTGCTGCGCCTCCCCATTGCTCCCGATTCCTTGATGCTCCCGGTTTCACGTTTCCCCGGTGCCGCGGCTCCCCGTTTCCCCGGTGCTCCCTGTTCTCTGGCTTCCCGTTTCCACGGTGCTGCGGCTCCCAGTCTTCCCGGTTGCCCGGTTCCCCGATGTTCCCGTTTCCCCGGTGCTGCGCCTCCCCACTGCTCCCGCTTCCCCGATG